GCCCAAAGTAGAATGCAGTGTAAAACAGATAAAGGACCACTCTTGTGTTCAGTGGGAAATTGCATCTTTTTTTTTGGTGGCTTTATTCTCTTCCTTAAATAAAACAAGCAGCAATTTTTAAAATGCAGACTGGAGCATTGTGGGTTTGGCTCAAATTAGTGCATTGACCTGAGGCTGTCCTTGGGTTCTACTGCCCACCCCCTGCCCAGTCCTGGTCTGTATTCTCAGTGTTTACATTGTGGTCTGTCTTATGTTAAATAGTAGTGAAAGTAATGCATTACATTGATTCTTGATACAGGTTTTGGTGGCTCTTTATGACTTTTTTTTTTTTTTTTAAACTTTAATTTCTCCTTCCTATCTTTATACCTTTAGTGTGGGCAGTGGAGTACATAGTCCTTCCTGTCTGGAGGTGAATGGCTGTTCTGCTTCTTGAATGGAGCCACTGCTAGTGAATAATCTGCTGGTAAAACTTCAGTTCTCAGCCACTACTTTAAGTTCTTGGCAGTAAGTGTGTCAGGCAGCTCTCAAAGGAAGGTGGCAATACTACTGTGAGAACTTAGTTGAAAGCTGAAACATCCTAGCAGGAGAAAGGAATCAACAACTTCAAAGTAACTCAATTTTACAGCCACTACTCAGCTTTTAAGGAGTGAAAATTGTAGTGTGGTACAGCCTCTGAGGTGATGTGATGTTTAGAGACAAATCCCACGAGTGCTTTGAGCTGGTACATTTTCCTCAAACATCTGAGCAAGGCTGAAATCCTACAGTTAGGGTCTTGCTTCATTCTGCTGTTCTGTGTGGCAGATGGGGGTAAATGAGGAGCTCTTCCTTGGTCCCTGATGGACTGATGTTCACTGACTGCCCTTACTGCACTGATACTGAGCTTTTCTTTGTATATTTGACTAAGTAGCAAACACTTATTTGGTATACAAATGCTCTTAAACATGTTTACCTTGTTTTGTTTTTTTTTTGTTTTTTTTTTTTAAACTGTTGTGACTAGCATTCTGAAGAAACAAGTTGAACTCTAATTTTCTATATCTTTTTATAATAAAGACGTCTTTTGAAATAATATTGTAACTGAAGGGATGTCGTCATGCTGAATTCAGTGTCACTTTTACAGTCATAAATGCTGAAGCAAGTTGTACGGTTGGTTGTTCTGAAATGTTAGGCCCTCAAGGGATGTGGTAGGAGAAGCCCAGCTGACCTGTCATAAGGACTGACTGCAGTCACAGTGACACCCTGAGGTCCAGGCTGAGACCAGCCACATTTCCTGTGAATGCAGGACTGAAGAGGTGAACAAAGTTCTAAAGGACAAAAGACAGTGTGTTAAGCTCTTGACTGAAAACAAGTCTGCTAGATCCTGTAGGAAGGCTGGAGCAGAACTTGGCTTGGAACTCTTCTGAGATCCTCAACTGGAGATGGTGTGTTTTTTCCAATTAAAGACTGTGTGTGGCTTATTTTCACGTTCCATAAGCCATAGTGCTTAATAGTGACCGTTGTAAGAATATACTAACTGATTCACTGGAGTATTGGGGGGGGAGTGGCAGGCATTTTTTAAGGCTCTTGCGTACCATTTGTGGCAGCTGCAAAAGCTTGCTATGCATTTCTGTACCATGCAAGTACAGAAAACTACTCACTGCAGCATCTCTCACTGGAAGCACTTACCTTGCAGTTGTGCTTGCTTAAACTGATGCTATTTAATGCTTCTTGGGAAGCTCTTGGTGCTGATACCTCTATAAAACCAGTGTATTGATTGTAAGCTGGAGCCTCCTGGATTATAATGAACTGCCTCTCTCTACCTTAGAGAACCCACCTGCTGTTACTGCTATGATGCACTTCAACAGTTCTCACTTCACAGTAACAATGCTGCAATGATTACATCACGGTGTTTGTCCTTGTTGCTCCTACAGCTTTTCTAGGACTGAAGCACATGGAGAACTGTCTTAAAGCTAAAGGAGAGAGAACAATATAAGTTGCATCACCATCCCTGCAGTTGTATCCTATGTAAGCAGCTTCCCTCACTGGGAAGAATGGTGAACATGTACCTTCCAATCTAGTGGTGTGTGCTGCTATTGCTTAGTAAGAAGAAAATGTGCTGGTTACTGTTGTTACATCCTTTCAAACAGGTGTTAGAAATATGTTAGGCATAGCAGATTATAAAGCACCTGAAACTCTAAGGATATAGCTGTTAGTTGTGGTGTAAACCCTACGACAGAGATTTCTGAGAAACATCAGCCTTGGTTAATGTTTTGACCTCTGCGGGCAAGAGGCTTGTTATTATTTTCAGTTAGAAGCTACGAGCTGGATGTGATTGACAGGTAGGTGGCAGTCTTGAAACTGCTCACACTCCCAACAGAGCTTAGTTGGGAAGCTTTGCTATCCCCGGTGTTGTCAGGTAGCATGGGTTTGGGTAGGACAAAAGCAGCATTTCATGAACTGCTTGTTTATCAGTGCTGTGCTTGGGAGGAAGGGAACATAGATAGCAGACTCCTGCTTGGGTGTATAAGAGATTGCACTCTGCTACGTGCTGGGAGAAGACAACTCCAGAACAGCACTAACTTGGCTCATTCTGGATGAGACGAAGCTGTGTACAACTTACCTACCTGCTGCAGTGCTGGGTTCTCACATCTGACTCATCAAAAGAAAAATAATAACAAAACCTGCTTTGTCCAATTGTTCCAGGTTGCCCATGCTCTTGTCTGGTAATGCCAATCATCTAATGTGCTCATAAAGAGCTGGATTAATTTATCCTAAAAGCCCTGGGGAAAGCAAGTCATGTCTAGGAAGTGCTGAAGCCCAGAAAGCACACATCATAGGAAGCAGCTGCCGAGTGCCTCCACGGTCATTTGAGGAGCTGTATGTAATTAATTTAAAAATTGTCTGCTGTATTCCTGAGCATATGCTCAGAGAATGGAGGGTGCCAATCATCCTGCATTTCTTGGTGTTGGAAGTTCAAACTTGTAACTGAATCTTCAAAAATACACCTAGTGGTGTTTCTCTGGTACAGGAGCCCTCCAACATTTCCAGGGCTCAGTGGTGGGAAGATGATTGTTTTGCCTTTCTAAAAAGAATGGTAGAATGAATCCCTAAGGCAATGTGAATGTACTGTGGTTGTGGTTCTGCTCATTTCTCTTATTGGCCATGTTCTCCAGCTTAACTCTGAGAAATGTTGTTAATGTGTATTTCTCAAGACTGGAACTATGATACGTTTCTCTTTGTCACTCTAAGGCAGTTACAGTTGTTGTTTTCTTTTTCTAGATGTCAGTTGAGTTTTCCCTGGCTATGGTAACTAATGGTGGTTTCTTTTACAGAGGTATGGCCGTACTGCCTGCTGCCAGGCTCTGATACTGCAGGTGTTCAGGCACTTGGCACCCTTTGGACACCTACCGATGAACCCATTTCAAATCTAGAAATTCTTCCTTTACTTAAGCCAGGGAAAGTGCTTTTAAAGACGAATGCACTTACTAAATAAATCAGAAACTTCCCAAGTTAATTTAAATCTTACTTTGAACATCTACAAAGCGATTTCAGTGAACAATTCTGCATGAAAAGGGTGCCTTTAGCTCTGTTGTTCTGCGATCTTCTAATTCCATGAATTCGTTAAAAAGCCAAAGCTAAGGATTTGTTAGTTGTGTAACATGGCCTACCTTCAAGCTGCCCTTCAGTTTTTTGCCTTGGTCAAATAGCTCCAGTGCTAAATTTATGACTTAGCTTGACATCTCTTACCTGCCTTCAATTTGATATTGAAAGCAAGTTTCTCTTCTGAGAAACCACAAGGAAGTGGAGAAAACATTACACTTCATCTTGTGAATGTAATCTACTGCCATTTATCACTTACACATCAGAGAAACAAACCCAGAGACTGAGCAAAGTCAAAGCAACTTATTTAATCTCATGGAAAAAAAAAAATGCAATGGTCACATTCTTAACTGTAGCAAAGTATTTTGATACAAAGACCACAACCCTATGGGAGTACTTCTTATTATTTGCTCTTCTTCTCTTTTTTTGTTTGTTTGTTTTTTGTGGGTTTTTTTTGTTTTGTTTTGTTTTTTTTGTTTTTAAAGTACATGGAAGTACATGAATCATAGAACCACAGACTGGTTGGGGTTGCATGGGACCTTAAAGCCCACCCAGCCCCAACCCTGTGCTGTGGGCAGGGCTACCACCCACCAGCTCAGACTGCCCAGAGCCCCACATCTAACTTGGCCTTGACCAACTCTGGAGGTGGGGCATTCACAGCTTCTCTGGGCAGCCGTGCCTGGGCCTCACTGCCCTCTGGTTTTAAACTAAGAGTAAATTCTTTACTCATTCTCCCTTGTCCTATTGCTATCAGCCTGTGTAAAATGTTGGCCTCCCTCTTGCTTATAAGCTCTGATTAAGTAAGCATGTGAAGGCTGCAGTGGCATTGCCTCAGAGTTGTCTCTTCTAAAAGCTGAACAAACCCAACTCCCTCAACCTCTCTTCATAGGAGAGGTGCTCCAGCCTTCTGGGCATCTTCGTGGCCTCCTCTGGATCCACTCGAACTGCTCTGCTCCTTGTGCTTCAGGCCCCAGACCTGGATGCAGTACTCCAGGTGGGGCACGTGAGGACACAGTAGAGAAAGGCCACCCCCATCTTAATGCAGTCCTGGTAACAGCTGGCCTTCTGGGCTGCAAGAGCACACTGCTAGCTCACATCAAGCTTTTCATTCACCAGGACCCTCAAGTCCTCCACAGGGCTGCTCTCACGGAGTTCTTTCACTCTGTACCTGGGATTGCCCTGACCCATCTGCAAGGTTTTGGGCTTGGCCTTGTAATGGAAGTGAGTGTTAAGTTTTCCAACAGAAAATTAACATTTCACAAAGATATATATTTTAAAACAGTATACATGGGTCTGCCTTTCTGCTCTAATGTACAAAAAGAAGCCCAGTGGAAAGCAAAATGGTGTTTTTGTTTTTTTTTCCTCAGATGCTATAAACACAGCTCATTTGGGGCTCAGTACCTTGCTTTAATCACACAAACATCCATATTTTCAGTCAACTTTATTGATAAAATAAGTTTACTGTACAGTACACAATTCTAGCCATAAATTCTTTTCAAGCTATCTGCATTACAAAAATAACAGGTATGCAATGAAAAATAGTCACTCCACACAACGTGAAGGCTCTTTAAAATCCTAAAGTGATCAGGGCAGGGGAATGGAAGGGGAGACGTATCAAACGTGAAGACTAGGAGTAGATAAATTAAGTAACATTTCTTAATTTACAAAAATAAACACTAATCAAGCATTATTTCATAATAGAGCAACCTTAAAGAACTGCCACAGTCTAACAACCCTTCTCTGCTATATACTCTGCAGGCTGTATTTGAGACAAAACAGAAGGTCAGCCGTGGGGCTGCAGTCAGTGTCAAATGGAGGTGAATGTCTCTGATATCAGTCAAGAGCTGAAAAGACACTTGTAGAAAAAACTGAAACCAGAATTTCTTCCAAAACACACTGCATTAAAATAGATGTTGCTTCTGATAAGTCACCAGCTTGCAAGCTGCAGCAGAAATGCAAAATACTAAGTTACGTAAGCATGGGTGAAGTTTTATAGGTAACAGCAAACAAGTGTAATTTGAGCCTGAGATAAAGTATTCTGAGAAAAAAAACCTTCAAGTTTGGAAAGGGTTAAAACCTTCACGCACATCAATGTCCTCAATATATTCTTAAACCTACCAAAAAAAGCTATGATGCTCTGGTAGAAGCAGCAGCTGTTACCCCAACTACAAAAAACGTAGAATGTTGGAGAGCTTCATTCCTGTCCTTTCTGAGCTCTCGTTCCAGCTGCGTTTCTTGGCAGATGTATTAATTAATAAGAACTCAGTGTTTATTTTCTGCTACACGCTTTTCCTACCACTCTACTTGCTTCTCATAAAGCATGTGACAGTATCAAAGCAAAAATATTAAGCTCCCTGTAAGTCCATCCATCCACTGGGAATCTAAAGTTCCATATTAGACCTTTTGTTGCACGTACCTTTGCGTCTACGGAGGTTTTACTGAATCAACATTGTTTTTAAAACTGCCACATTTGACAGTGCTTAATGCTCAATTCCATTCGCATTGTTGTAACTGAAAATGAAATTTGTTTAAATGATAACTGATTGTAGTCTTCAACTCACTTTGCAAGGTAAGTTATTAAACAGCCCCAATACCAAAGCGCGTATACCATTTGTAGATCTGCAGTCTTCTGTTTTTGCTGTACTTCAAGTACGCATTCCAAGAATACAGTAACATGCTGAACAAAATGTGGTAATACAATCAGTCTTAGCAACAGCCTTAGCACTTTGAACAAGTAGCAGAAGCAGTCTGACAAAAGCCAGATGTGAATTATTTCAGCACCTCTTTTATGGCAAATACATCTTATGAAGCACTTCTGGTGTATAGGCATACAATGCAAGCTACTTCTTGTTTTAGAAGCGCTAATTCATTTTCACCTCTGCAGCTTTTTCAGGAAAAGAAGTGAGCAGTCTTTCTGTCAGCGTAACATACTGAAAGCTCCCGCTGACTATGAGAGCTCCTTGACTATGTAGTACTCAAAGAGGGAGAATACTATTTGCAGGTGTGCAGGCTGCCAACTTTGCTATAGAACTTCACCACTCCTTCTCCCAGTTATCTTTCTCCGCCTATAGATTGAGGTGCTTTCAAATTGCTGTTTCCCACTTTGGGCAGCCAATCCCCAAAGAAATACGTGAGACTCCAGCAGCTTGCCACCTACAGAGAACTGAGCTTGGTTTTCTCTCATAAGGTAAATACAACTGCAAAATTATCACCTATGTTGAAGCAACTGGCCTTACATTGTAACAGGACAGCCTGCGGCTAGCAGAAATCCTTCAGCTTTATGCTAGCTCTCTGCATTAAAAGAGGCTCATTGCTAAATGCTGAATTTCAAACAACTTACTAAAAGGAAAAACAAAGTATGGATGGTGCACAAAGCATAGTCAGCCACTGTCTTTTAGCCAGAGATCAGCCTTTAAATCTCACGTTTATTGTATAATAGCTGCATTGAAGTTTTGTCCGAGCAATAAATTATATAAATTAAGTGAAATTATGTGTTTTATTTGTAAAATGACTTCATATAAAAATAATTCCCAATTCCTTAAGTGCATTAATCCATTTCCTACTGAAGTTAGATCTATGGCAATTAATCTGTCACTATGGTATTTATAGAATACCGGTTGGAGTTTCTCTTACACGGTACAAAAGCCACTAAACTGAAGTTTGAGATGCATAAGCCTGCTGGTGCCCTATTCAGTAACAAGTGCTTGACAAGTGACCCCTGATATTCCGTTTGTAAAGTGTGCAATTAAAGCTCGTTGGCTTCCACAGTCTTTAGCTCTTCCTCAGGCTCAAATCACTGCTTGTTACTAATCCTGAAAGGGATGTACTCTCTGATGCATCTTCTTTCTTAAGGTTCAGGAATGATTCTCTGGTTATCTGAAGAATTTCTCTCAAGCCTTTGTTTTCTTGCTATAATGGAGGGATAAAAAAGGCATTTGATAGAACTCCAGAAAGTTGAGATAACTACATAAAGGATCTCTCCTTCCCTTTGCTACAAACACGCTTAAAAAGATGAGCAACAAAATAGCAGTAGGAGTGAATGATCCCATAACTCGAGAGAGAGACAGTAACTCAGTAATTGTGATAACGTTTACTCTCTTACTAAGGGATGAGTTTCAGTAATGCTAAAGCAACGGGAACAATAGAACCAAAAGCATTTTAGACAAAACAAACTATACCAGAAGATAAGTGTGCAAAGCAGCATGTTTTACATGCCAGATTACCACAGAACTACAAATGGAAAAGATCTCTTTAGTGAAGAGTTTACTGAGTTTAAAAAGTACTTTGAAATAATTAAATATCCCACCTAGTTCCCCACTCATTAATAATGTGTGACTTGGTTCCACAAAGTCTTACAAGAAAGCAACCAAATTGGTGGCACACTGGAAAAACCTTTAACAAAAGAAATGATTTAATATTGAGGAAATCTGGAAAATCAAACAGGTGACCAAAGCAGAAGTCTGAATCAACATCTTGGGGATTTGTGGCAATTTCAGTGAAGTTACTACAAGAATACAGAACGTGATTTGCTCCCGAGTTCTGGAAGGATGGCAGCGCAGCAAAGGCCAATCTAAAGTCAGGTATGGCCCCCTCAGATCCATCAGGTGTTGATGATACAACATCAAACTAATTCTCATAAGTAACCTAATTATCTAATGCTAATTAAGATAGATATCATGCAGCTATCTTTTTGCTGGCCTTGATACTGCCAGTGGATGCATGAGAAGCTGGCCATTCCTAAGTCCCAATGTACTGAAAGACTATACAAGAAAGAAAGAACTGTAGGGTCAGAGCCATGCAGCACATTTTAAAGCTTCTGTGAATATATTTGGGTAATGGTAACCTGCTCCCCAGCTCCCAAAATAAGTGGTACACAAGTTTCCCTATTTTGACAACTACACCCTGATCTGTATGTAAACACAATTTCTTGTCTGACAGTCAATTCTGAGCATTTCACACTGGGAGGGTGAAGGAAGACAAATCCCTCTTTGTGCCATCGCTGCTTTGATTTCATACTTACTTCCAGCTGAATGATACGTTCCTGCTCTTTACAGCCATGCCTGTCATCAATTTCAATGGCTTTCCTCATTACTGCTGCCATTTCTGTAATTTGGTCCACGTGCACTTGCAGTTCCTAAGCCATACAGATAAAAAGATGTTTTTAGTAATAAGCTTTATTCGTTACTAAAAATAAGCAAAGCATTAAATGTGCATTTTAACTGCTGTGTCACGTAATAAAAATGTGAACACGGATCTAAACAAAGAAGCACCAACTCTACAGCACGAGCAAGCACTGCAGTTCTGTTCATTTAAATCAATCTGATTTGCCATACAGTTCCCTTTCAGGAATTTTACAGAAGAAAACATGCCAAATGACTATTCCTTTGACAGCTTCCACATCACCCAGATGGCTGTTAGACAGCCACTTACTTGCTCTGGCAAGAACTTCCTGTACTGCAGGAGCTGATGTATGTCTTTCCGGATGTGCAGAAAGGCCAACTTCATCTGAGCACAGCAGCATATGCAACCTGTTTGAAAGCTGGTCCCAAGTCTACTAAGCACAAGTACAGGCAGTACTAGCTCTTGGTTGGCATTTTTCTCTTAGAAAGAGCAGGCAAAGCTGTTGTCCTGACTATGCCATAAATTGGGAAACTCAGCCCTTTTTCTGGTCCTTCTGCTCAAATCATTTCCAATTTCAGCTTATCTGGGATCTGGACTCCAGAGGTCCTTGTCCTTGCTGAACCCTAAGAAACACCCTTGTGCCCTGCCTGACCTCTTTGTGTCTGCTCATTAACTCTGATAAGGTACTTTCCTATTATAAACAATTACTGCATCTCACTGAAAAATTCATGAAGGAAGGAAAAAAAAAAAAAAGCAGTAGTTTTCTTTGCTCATCTTGTTCCACTGCCAGGAGAGGGGTGATAGGAGTCACTAACACAGGCATGTGTTAGATTTTAAATAATTTTCCCTGTTTGCAAAGAAGTGATATCTTACTTGGACCTTTGTTGGCTTGGATGATATTTTACTTTCTCTCTGGCCAGCATACCAGCAGGAAGTGCTTATAGAGCCTCTGCTTATTTCTCCTGAAAATGTAGATAGAGAGCCCATGCTTCTGGCATTCATTGCTGTTCAGTTAAGCCAAATACTTTAATGTATTTACAGAAGCTTTTAATTTTTCCAGTCTTTGAACCTGTTTCTTATTCCAAATCTACTAACAGACCAGCTTATTCTTGTCTGGCCTGACCTTTGGACAAAATTCACAACATTTATTAAATAATACTAGAAAAAGAACAGTAGGACTGAAAGCTGTTATCTACACTGAAGAACAGTATAGATTAAACTTAAAAATGGCATTTAACTTATGAACTTGACTGGACGTCCACACACCCAGCAGATGATCCTCTTGCCTTTGAACTCACAGAAACAATTAAGCTATCATACAAGAATTCCTTTGCCTGGAATCACAGTCTGAGCAACAACACACTTCATTAAAAATGAACATTGGCCCTTCCCATCCTTTTCTGCTGTTTCAATTGCCAAAGCTGTGGTTTAGCTGTTTACTCATTAAGTGTTCATTTGCAGCATGGAAGTCAGGGAAGGGGGTGGGGAGGAGAGAAAGAACTTGCTGTAAATCTTTATATTCTTCTTAGTTTCCAGTGAAAATGAGCACATGGAGCATTTTTCCTTCATTGAAGGTTGTTTTTCAAGAGATTTTTAAAAGAATACATTTGGCTCGAAAGGAAGCTGTGATCAGTGGTAAAGGAATGAGCTGGCAAGGACGTATCGTGGAGAAGGACTGGGAAGGAATCAGTGGCTTTTAGATACACAGCTGTCCTCATTTGGCTAGCTTATGTGGCATCTTGATCAATATGATCTAGAGCCTGTTACAAGGTCACTAACAGGAGATCAAACAGCATGCTTAGGCTCATTACTAGCAATCCTCATGCACTCAAGAATGCTAAAAGAAACTGCTTTTCTGTTAAAGGCAGGTGCTTGTTGATCTGCAGAAAGTAATGAGTTAAATAATATTTTGTAAATAGCCACTGAAGTTGACAGCTGCCACTTAAGAAAGCAGTGATTACTGGTAACATTGAGATTGACTCCTTAGGCATATGGAATTCGTTGTTAATGTGGTAAGAAGTATTTAAAGACTGCTTCAAGACTGTTCAGTCTTACTGGAGGTGAAGATTGATCAGAGGGATAAATAACAAAATTCCAGAAATAGTAAGTCAGGAAAGGGTAATAAATCCTCTTTATCAAGTATATTTGTGAGGTCCAACTTAATAAAAATACTGAATCCCAAATCTCCTGCTTAAATAACACTATTTTCCATTATTATTATTTTGTTGTCCCAAGCTTTGAATCCATAAAAGTGTTTCTAAATGAAATTTTGAAGTCCATTTCAGGACTGATATTTTACTTTCTTGCCTTGGTTCCAAAGGATTAACTTAGGTTCCAAAGGTATCAAATACACAAGAGATAATGCTAACTTATAACACTGATACCAAATCAAATGTCTTAATACTGTTTTGCTAAATGTTTGGCTTACTCCTTCCACTCAGACAGCAATCTGAGGCATTTAGACCAAGATCTATGGGTACATGGAACTATAGGTGAGCAGTTGCCTTAAAGACCTAAGCAAAGCAGAAGTAAATTAAGTAGATAAGGTAATGAAATGCTACTTGATAAAAGCTTAAATATATCAGCAGCTGGTAAGGTTGACCTACTGATGGATCAATTTTCCTGTTTGTGTTTCATTAGGACTAGTTAGTGCAATAATATAAGAACTGAGATGATGCAAGTTTTGTGTTGATCCATTACAAACTAACTTACATGTTAGTGGAGAAAAAAAAACAACAAAAAAAACCCCTTAAAGCCAATAACCCAAAGGAATTACCTTGGAATGTTGCTCTTTTAATTTCATTATTATACTTGGATCATCCTTTTTGCTTGCCATAAGCAACCTAAACATCTGTTCTCTGTACTTGCTCATTATGAGTTCCAAAGCAGACTGATGTTCTTCAAGAGACGTGCGTAGTTCTACCAACAAAATTTGATGTTCAGTTAAACTTCATCAGAGAAGAAACGAAACACAATGCAAAAATACTGCTGTCTGAGAAAGCTGAAATAAACCCTTAAGTTAGCATGCCCCTTCCTTCCCCCATCAAATCTTGGTTGTGTCCTCAAATACTTCAGTGGCGTCTGCCCAAGAATCTCCTCGTTCAGTCAGAAACAGAGACTCTGCTGTCCATTTGTTAATTCCTAGTGTATGGAATTTCAGAAGGAATTATACTACTATGCTTATAACTCAACTTTTCCTGACTGTTTCCACATGTTATTTTTAAGTAATGGGAAAACATATCTTCATATAGATAGTTACATTGTAGAAGCAATATTCAGATCTCCTCACTTACAACAAACACGAAGGATGGACTGAATCAGATGTTCTATACAGCTCTTCTTGTTAATTACAGTTCTGGTGCTGAGACGTTTAGGCTTTGCATTAGATTACATTGTGACCAGTTAAACTGACAGGTTCTGCTTAGAAGAAAACTTGTATAAATATTCTTTGAGACTTGGTCAGTGAGGAAAGTATCACTGGTTGGAGTGGTGCAGGCTAGAACCTGAATAGGACAGAATGTTAATCTTACCTTTATTCTCCTGTTGTAATTCCCTGATCTGCCTGTTCTCTTGTTGGATACCCATCACTAATGTAGACCGAGGACGATGTCTTGCTACTTCATTGAGCTCCTGGACTTCCTCTTGGTACTATTATAAAACAAACAAACAAACAAACAAAAAAACCCCACACCCACCATATTTCAGTAACCAATGGAAAATGTTACTTAGCAAGTCACAAAGAACCAGTCCTAATGTCAGCCAAAGTCTATAGCCAGCAAGATAAATGTTTCATTTTAATTCATTTACATAAACAAAAACACATCTGGAGGTGTTGTCAACTTACTGCCCTTCAGAGACGCTCATATTAATCCAAGTTTGATACCTCAGGTCTCTGTAGTGGGCGCGGTTTAACCTTCAGCTGGTGCAGGTCAAATTCCCCATCAGATCATTACAGCTGACAAACACATGCTAAAGAATAGCCATGAGGTACTGACACCTCTGTGGCTTCCTGATAGCTTAAAGCATGTGTATGAGTACAAATCACATGGACCTAAATGCATGGGTCCTGACTCTCAACAAGTCGGTAAACGTGATGCTCTTGATATAAGGTTACGAAGCCTCTGCGTGAGCAGTTTCACAGGGTTGAAGCATACAGTATCATAGAGCATTACAATTGTTTGGGTTGGAAAGGACTTCAAAGATCATCTAGTACCAACCTCAATATGCAGGATTTTGTTACTTTACAGGCTCATTAACATGTATTAAAACAGAAATGACAGGATGAACTTCCAAGTGGAAAGACAGTTGACACCTTTATGTTTTGCAGAAGTTCTCTAGTGAAAGTCACACTCAACCTAATGATAAGCCTTGGACAGCTTAACATCAGAAGGGAAATAATAGCGAATAAGCCTAAAAGGCTACCTGGAAAGAAAAGGAGACAGTGAAAAGATAAAGTATTCTACACAGAAGACACTACGACAGGGCCTCTGTCTGATTAAATCTGCACATTTGAATCATCAAACAAGTAGCACTTTACAGAAGAACAAAACACAAGGCACCACTGCAGGACACTAACCCCATTTTTACCTGTGCTCTCAACATAAACACCAACTTTCAATGTTTAAGCTAGAACAGCAGGCAAAAGTTCCTCACAGGATCAAACAAAATTATAAACAACCTAATTTTAGATGACAGTCACACCCACAATAAGAATACTTCGTATGGCATTAAAGGATTAACCAAATAACTACTGATTCTACGTTGCAGAAATGACTTCAAATGATGTGTTTCCAAGTTCTACTCCTGATGGAGTAAACAAAGTTGAAAAACAAACCTGCTTCATTGCTTCAACCCGTTTATTAAGAGCTGTAGTCTGTTCAATAAGAGCTTCTGCGGCGTTGTCATGTTCCCGCAGCCGTTCCACCAGCGCTTTAGCATCTGCTAAGGCTTTCTCAATTGTGCAACTCATTTCTAAAGAAAAGAAGTGTATTATTTTCACACCACCACCCGTTTGCTATAGAGAGAACCACTATCTCTGGAATACACGTGCATATATGTGCTTTTCCTATGTATGAAGCAGCTGACTACAACATCCTCCTCTTACCCAAACAGTGAGAGCTGACATTTCAGACTCATGCTGTCTTTTAGGAGTAGAAAAAAAAATCATATAGCTTAAAAATACTGCAAGTCTGGCTTTCCATTTTCTGCTTTTTAATTGCTGTTGAGATCGTGTACTGCAGCAAAGGAATGAAAGCAAGCTGTGTTGTGAGAAGAGTATTTGATATTCTCTTGATATTTGACACGTATAAATTCAAGACAAAAGAGAATGCCAGAAAGGATACAGAGGGCTTCAAGATTTTAATTAAATCAGTAAAGAAGAACTAAAACTGGCAGCGTAGAGGAAAATTACTTAGGGCAAACTCAGAAAGCCAAAGGCCTGTGTTACATCTTCATGTCTAAAATGTCTAAAAATGAATGAAATGAATTGTAAAATGTGCTGTTTTCAACAGGATAGAGCAAGACAGCCATTTAGCTAAGATAAAGAACTGACTGCATAGTTAGAATACCAGCCTTCTAATTACAGGAGCTGTAAGCAGAAATTACCTAAACTTGCAAAATGTTTGCACATACTAGGATTTCCAATGCATGGGCCTTTGCTTTTTTTTTTTTTTTTCCCTCTGCCCTAAAACTATTCTCAAAAGATTCAAGTGACTGAGATTCTTCAAGCTTCTTGGTTTTGTTCTCTTTTAGGAAGCCTTGCATGTTTTCAATTGAAAAGGAAAACTACTTCAACTCCTTGAAAGTTCTTTGGCAATCAAATAGCAATAAGAAAGCCTTATTAATAACACATAAGGTTTGAGTCTTGTTTCAGGAAATTTTCTCAAGTTACTGTAAAAATCCATTTCTCAGCTGGGACATTTGCTGAAGGAGAGGTTTCATGCTATGGACCAGAACGCCAAGCTGGATGAAATCCTCACACTATCCCCAGCTGACCTCTTCCCACCATCTAGGAAAGTAGTAGAAAGAAGACACTTCTAACACAGGAGATTTCACCATTCTCCTCAAAGATTTACAAGGATAGCAAGAACATCCCACCAGTGAGCGTTAGGCTGGGGGAAAGTGAGTGAGAGAGTCTGCAGTGCTCTCTCTGAAGAGCCTGTGTAAGCCCCTGAACCTTCTAAGTCTAAAGTCCCCAGAGCATTTTAATTTGGTAGTTTTGTTAACATTTCCTGTGTTCAGAAGAGCACGTGACATTTACTTCATGCAAAATGGTGCAAAATGACCTCTTACAGGCTGTCCCATCACAGAAAGATTAAGCCTTATTTATGAACAAAGAAGCCTGAGCAAACAAGTTCCAGGTCTGCACAGAGCACAGCTGTTTTAAACTGTGCTTTCTGTATTTTCAAAAGCAGCAACACTTTGGCATATTCGGATTTCTTATAAACATTCATAATGTGAATTCCTTCCTATTTATCAACTAAAGTTTTGATTTTAACTTCCATATGATATATTTATGTATTCGAGTTCTTCAGCAGACTGATGTGTTACCACAGGCAGTTCATTTATACATTGTGGCTTAGCAATTGGAGCTCTTTTTGATATTACATACAAAGGAATTGAAGACTATTCCAAGTAGGAAGGGACCCATAAAGATCACCACATTCAGTTCCTGTCTCCATACTGGACAGCCTCAAAATTAGACCATATGTCTGAGGGTATTGTCCAGATGCTGCTTGAACTCTGGATAACATTTCAGGTGGCGTCAACATATTGCATTGCTTTTAAGGATCTGCTTTTCTTGTGTCTTACTCCTCCTTCCAATTCTGGTCTCACATTCTCACCAGTCTACAAAATGGTTACAGACAAAACACGAGCTTCCATGACAGATGACTGAACTGCTACAGAAGTTGATTTCATTAGCTCAGTGTTTCAGAATTTGAAGAGCAGACATTAACTCAATTCCCAGGCCACGAATTCTCCAGCCACTACAAAACAAGCCTCTCAGGCCTCCCCATGAGCACAAAATACTTTTTGCATTCAGACTACAATGCAGTTAACACCTCTGATAATTTGCATCAACACCACATTTTAAACATAGCGCATGGAAGGATGAACGTGTACTGTCATTTTGACTGCATGAGACAAAAACCGACTGGCTTTTTCACAGTGACTGTGCTGGGGCAACCATGTGTGCATCTTGTGCAGGCAGAAGGCCCCAAATCAGGCAGCAGCCCCAAACCCACATCATGGTGTGGGAGCTCTGGCAGTCCTGCAGAGTCCTCCAGGAGGAGGTCTGCTGTTTGCATCGTGATATCCAAAGCCCCAAATCTTGACTAGGATTCCTTTTGGCACAGCAGTAGCCTCACTCTTGGCAGTTACAATACTTTCTTCTTGTTCAGCCAGCTGCCTATTAAGAACAAAATAGCTGCCTTGCCACAGAATACATCTAAACATGTGAGTTACCCTGAACACTGGAAAGAAAAACGAAAGATCAGTGACTCAAAGATACCAAACTCAAACCGACTGTTAATATGCGAGCACGAGGACTTGCAACAGCACACCACAGCGCCCTCTGCCCCAGCTCCGAGCACAGCCGTCACCCCGCAGCTGCCCCACAGCCCAGGGCCAACAGGTAGCAGCGGGAGCAGCAACGCTGCCACCCCACGCTCATTTCCTGCCGCCTCCTGCTATTGACTAATTGCTTTCATTACCTAATTCGGCTGCACTTTACCATACAAAAAAAAAAAAAAAAAAAACCAACAAAAAAACAAAGGCTCCGCCAGCACCGCAGCCTCCCTCCGCTCTTTCCTCACTACTGAAAACCTTCTACTACAGCTTCGTTCCTCCTTTTCTCTGTAACATTGCACAGCTCCATAATTTATAGGAGCTTCAGGGAGCGCGCTACCTGGCCTTCCCTCAGCTCTACCGTGCCCCAGCCAGGCCTATCGCGACACCTCCCACCTGTCGCGACACAGTAGACAGGTCAGGGCTGGTGGCAACTCCCGACCGGCCCGCTCTTACCAACCCCTTCGGCCCCACCTCCCGCCGCCCTCCTCGCCAACAGCCCATTATCGTGCCCCCAGCCCCCTCATTCCCTCCCTCGCTCACTCATCACCGGCGGCTCCGGCAGCGCCCGGCGCCGGATGAGGCCCGGCCGCCCGCCCCGCTGTCAAATGGCGGCGCGGGCGGAGCGAAGGAGGCCGCACCGCCCCCTCGGCCTTCAAGTCTCGCGAGGCCTCACCTTACCGTCCGCTTTTCCTTGTGCCACCCCGTCGGTCGTTTCGGCGGCGCTACGCGGGCGGTCTCGCGGGATCTCGCGAGGCCGCGGAGGGTGGCCCGCGCTGGGGCGGGCAGCTCGGGCAATGGGGGCTGCGTGACCCCGGCGCGCCGCCGGGGCCCTGCTGGCTGGCGGGGCCGGCGGGGTAGTGGGTGAGGAGGGGAGAGGCGCTCCCCCTGCCAGCGCTGGGGGAGCCGTTACGCCAGCGGCGTAAGTGGCCGCGCGGGGGTCTCGCGGCCTCAGGGGTGGGCGGAGCGGGGGGGGCTGCGGCCGCTTCTCCCACCCCCGCGGGCGCCGGGCGCGGAGACCGGAGCCGGGCCCCGCGCTCCCCGTCGAGCCGGCGGCGGCCGCCGAGGAAGCGAGCGGAGGGGCATGGAGGCCGCCCGGCCGCAGGCGCCCGCGCCCGGCCCTCTCTAGGGCGCCCCGCGGGGCCTATCCCTCCTCCCCGGAGCGGGCCCGCGGCAGGGCCCGGGCGCGGCGCGGAGGAGGCCCGGGACCGCTGCAGCACCGCAGGAGTCGGCCCAAGTAAGAGACGCCGCCCGCGCGCCCCTTCCCCCGGCGGGCCGGGCGCTGCCGCGGCTGTGCCCTCCACGTCCGTCTGTGTGCTTCTCCTTTCCTCGCGCGTTCTGAGAAGCGCGAAGAGAAGGCTGGAAGTGAGCCTGACAGCCTCGGTCCTGCTGCTTTGTCACAGCCCGTCTAGCCTAACCGTGTATATATATGAATATATATGTATGTATCTTCCTGTTACTGTTAACAGGAAAGCTCTAACTAGCAAGCTGTTTCTGTACGATTTTTGCTTAGACGTACCTCTTAATCACGGGAAGGAGGAAGATAATGTCGTGTGTTATTATTATTTTTCAACTCCGCATTCACGTTTTCTGCATCTTTCCTCCTGGGGGACAAAGAAATGATGAGGCATCTAGTACACTAAACACAAGGGCTAAGATACTTCTTCTCTCTACGTAAATAGCCTTAATATAAGCACACTTACAGGGTGTCCTGGAGCCTAATAGGATGTTGCTGCAGCTAATGGATGCGATGTATAATCTAAATAGTGTGAGGTAACCTCTTCAGAACTCGAATGTTCTAGTAGGATAGTTTTCTGCTATATAAACCCCGTGGTAGTTCTGTGATATGTTTCTCTCCTACACTTTCTTTTTTTTCTAATTCCATTGTCTGTTTTAGGAAGAAAATGAAAATCTTCTCTGAGTCTCATAAAACTGTTTTTGTTGTGGATCACTGCCCATATATGGCAGAATCCTGTAGACAGCATGTTGAATTTGATATGTTAGTAAAGAACCGGACCCAAGGAATCATACCTCTAGCACCCATATCAAAATCATTATGGACCTGTTCAGTGGAATCGTCTATGGAGTACTGCAGAATAATGTATGACATTTTTCCTTTCAAGAAACTGGTAAGTTTTTCTACAAATTCTGCATGATGCTTAATAACTTAACTGGTACTTTCGTGTTTTCATGAAGCTTAATTCTGCTTGCTGCTGTTAGAAGTCTAAGTATGATTTCTTATAATTGTATTGTTGATACAGTGAATTGCTTTTTAAATTACTTTAAATAGCATCAAAGTCCCATTATATGTTAATTTTTGGGACCTTTGCATGTTTTGTGCAAAATGTGAGTAGTGCTTTAAGGTAACATGCTCACAAAAACTTGCGGGAGGTCTTGCTGCATATCATACTCTGCTTCTAAATATATATACCTGGTAGCACTTAAGGCTTTTCAATACCAACTCCAAAGGAATTGGATAGGAATAGGAGGGGTATCTCTAAGGGCAAGTTTGAAAAAGTGAGAGGGCGCACAGCTATTCTTTAGAAGCAGAAATACCTGGTGGCTCTTTAACTTGTGGTTCCTGAAGCTGCCTTATTACTGAGTAAACTCTTAAGAAATTTCCCGAGTCTGATCACCTTTTTTAAAAATAAGAAGTTGTAACAGTGATATTGCTACAAAGTAATGGCAGCCAACAGCCTGTTTTAAAAGGCAGCCAGGCTTTGCCTGACACAAATGCTACTGGAAGTTCACTGGTTTGATATGTCAGCCTCACTGCTTTGGTGGATTGTGTGTCCTGGCTCTCAGACAGCGTATGCTTAATTTAAACTGCAGTCTTGGCCTATCATGGGATTATATCAAGTGTATGCTCAATTAATTTAAAACATGACTGAAGTCTGTGTAGTGTATAAACTGGAAATTGACATGGAAGATGTTCTTCCCCTTGACTGTTTCTGGCAACTTTACAGTGTATTTTGCTCTCTAATGTTGAATAGATCTTGCTAGGTACTTACCCTGTAGTCTACTGTGATGACATCAGGAGAACAATTTGCTGTACCTCAGTACTTCACAGAGATTTTTCTGCAGAAGCTATTACCTATTTATTAAAACTTAACAATATCACGAGCTATTAACTCAGAATCAAGGTTGATTTGATTGCTTAAAAGCAAATGTTTGTGTAAGAAGTTGCTAATCATTTACTCTCTAAGTAATATTATGAATGTAGCAGTACCAAATGCTTTTTGTACATGTCTTATTTTCAGTTTGGCTTGTAATTGCATACATCTGCAGGGTATTAATTAGTCTGAAGGAGGAGGTGCAATCCTTGTCAGTTTGGTTTTGGGGAGGTAGCCTTAATCCGTGATCTTAGTTGACTGTTATCTGACATGAACTTTTAAAATGCTTTCAGGTGAATTTCATTGTGAGTGATTCTGGAGCTCATGTTTTGAATTCTTGGACCCAAGAAGACCAGAACTTGCAAGAGGTATCCATTAAAAATGTTCTTTTTTGAATTAGTTTAATCACAGGGCAGATTGTGATGTGTTACTAGTTGCTCTCCAAGGTGATCAGCTCTCATGCAGGCATGTTCTGCAGTGCACAGGAGGTGAACGGATGGAGACGGGGGTGGGATGAAGAGGTCCTGCAACTGGGGAGTCCCCAGGGTGAGAAGAGAACAGCCAGGGGCTGCCAGCACGTGTGGGAGCAGTTGAGGGGCTGGGTTGGGAACAGCATTGAGGGTCCCATAGGTGCAAAGATAGTTGACCAGGGCTTTGGTTGTGGGAAGCTCCAGCTTCTGGAAGTCTCCCAAGGGACTAAGGGTGGGGTGAGGGGGGATTCCAAGTGTGTCCAGCTCAATGAACTTCTTGAGCAGGTGTCGAGACTGAATGAGGAAAATCATCAGGCACTGCAGTATCCAGAATTTTTTTGAGAGAGACTGATGTCATTCTATGCAGTGATGCAGGCAGACTGACAGCACTGCCTTCAGTCCCTGCAAGAGGGACTGAAGAGAAAGAAACTAAACTGGCTTTCAGCCCTCAGGAGATAGATTCCAATAAAATGCAAGATAATGGATACAGCAACATCATCTTTGCTTGGAGCAAAAGGAGGAGTCTGCCTTTTGCCCCTGAAATGTACCTGTGGAACAGACATGCAGCTCTGCGGCTGGAAGTAAGAAGGGGTATGGGAAACAATCAAGGGACAGGAAGGGGCAACCACAGTAAGCTGACAAACTGCCTTAGTAGGCACAGTAAGCTGCCTTATTGGTACCAGTGCCACCAAAAAAGGCAAGAGGTGTAAGTAACTGGGGACTTCTTGTTGAGAAGCACTGAGGCACCTGTTTGTCACCCAAACACTCTCAGTAGAGAAGTGAGCCTCACTGTGTGTATGTGTGGAAAGATCATGGAACTGATCATTGGAAGCTGTGTTAGGGCACAAGGTTCAACGAGGCCAAATGCAAGGTGCTGCACCTGGGCTGGAACAATGCCAGGCTTGAATAGGGACTGGGAGAATTCACTGAGAGCAGCCTTGTGGAGAACTTGAGGTCCTAGTGGATGAGAAAGCTGGATGTGAGCCAGCAGTGTGTGCTTGCAGCTGGGAAGCAAACTGTATTGTGGCCTACACCAAAAGTGGCACGGCCAGTAGATTGAAGGAGGTGATTTTTCCACTCTGCTCTGCCCTCATGATGCCTCATCTCCATCAAGGCCCGGGGCCCTCAGCGTAAGAAAAGATGTGTATCTGGTGGGTGGCAACCCTCCTTATGGCAGGGTGGTTACAACTGCGTAGTCTTTAACATTTTTTCCAACTCAAGCCATTCAGTTATTCTATATTCAATATTAAGTTATGAATTAAAATGCTAGTGGGCCAATGTGGTCTGAAGTTTTTACATAGTACCATTTTAAGTGGTAGCCTGGGAGGTTGGGTGATTTGTATAAGCAGCAACATTTGGAAATACAAGCAGCTTTCAGGACCAAATTATATTAAAATAAATGGTATGAAGAAATTAGCCTGGTATGCATTTCATCTGTAAATTAGTGATACTTTTAGAATTTTACATTTGTTTGTGCAGAGAAACGTAAGAAGGTATAAACAGTATTTGCATTCTTTATTCTCACTTTCACTCATATCTAATGGGCTCATGTTCTGAAAGGCTTACTTTAGGAAGCAACTAAATTTCCCAAGTTTTCAGAAACTTAAAGTGAATTGCAGTTGATAAAGTAAGGATTTCTTATAGGTATTGGATATAAGTTGCAATTATATATAGCTATATATATACATATAGCTATGTATTTTTCTATGAGATATGATATTGTATTGTACAAGCTTGTTAACACATAGGAAATCAGTTGCATAGGGTAACTTGAGCTCAGTGCTTTTCCAAAGTCTGGGAGCGTGTACAGATCTTCTATTGCTCTGTTTGCTTTTCTCCTGTCAGTGTGAAGTAACATGTAAAATAAGTTGCCATTATAACTTTTCTCATAACTGAACTCTTTAACAGATGCCTCAACAGTAACTTTCAGTCATTCCTTTATCCAGTTAATGGCAGCCTTAGCAGCTGTGGGGCCACCTAATCCTCGGGCAGATCCAGAATGCTGCAGCATACTTCATGGGCTGGTTGCTGCAGTTGAAGCACTTTGCAAAATAACAGAGTACCAACACGAGGCTCGAACCATGCTCATGGAGAATGCAGAACGTGTTGGAAATAGAGGGAGAATAATCTGTATTACTAATGCAAAAAGGTATGTATTATCATTTGCTTCTGCCAGCAACAAATAGAGATTTCATACATTTTTAGAAGCATTTCATTGATTGCTGTAAATTAATGCTCTAAGTAGCTGTATTCTTAGTAAATCATTTCTTGCCTTATTCATGCTTTTGTTTATGGAGATGTGCTACAGTAACCAATGAAAAATTCTCACTTTAAATAGAAAAGTATGTGGTGGCTTGCTGCTCTGAATGAGAGGATTTATAATACTGCATAAAACTGTTCATTTCTCTCCAGTGACAGTCATGTTCGGATGCTTGAGGATTATGTTCAGGAAACCATTCATGAACATAATAAGCTTGCAGCTAACTCAGATCAGTGAGTATACTTTCAGCAGTTTGTTTTTTCCCTATGTGTGCCTGGTATGTTCTCTTTAGAATTTACACTTGTATTTCTTAAACTCTTCTGATGAGTGGTTTGAATGCTGCTGTGTAATAGAGGGTTCTAAGCTGATGTATCATCCCATATCCTCATATCAATCTGATGAAATATTGTCCTATCTTTATCTAAAACATGAGATGATACAGTCCTGTAACAAGGCATGCTTAACCAGTTTTGTATCTGCATTCTTTCTTGAAAGCAACCGGTTAGTTTCACTTCTCTATTTCCTTAGGGTGAAATAGCTGAGGGGCTTGAAAGTAGTTTTTAATTTGTAAATTATTGTGTTACTTTATAACTCCCTTGGAATAAAGGAATATCTTAATCTCCTTCTGCCACTTTTCTGCCATATGCTTTGTCTAATTAAACAGTGAACTGCTTGGTGCAGGAATTGTATGTTATTGTGCAAAGTATACGGCAGCTTGAGATTTTATCCTTGATTGCTCCGTAGGCATTTATATAGCAGAAGCTATATTTAGCTGCTGCAAATGCAGTTTTGTATATGTAAGAAGGACACTAGTGCAAGGGAGTCAGATTCTAAGTCCCTTGTAAAGGGTGACCTACCATAGGATCATAGGTTGGAAGGGACCTTTAAGGTCATCAAGTTCCAACACCCTGCTGTTGGCAAGGACACACCTCTCTAGACTAGGTTGCTCAAAGCCCCATCCAGCCTGGCCTTGAGTGCTTCCAGGGAGGGGGCATTCACAGCCTCATTGGGCAGCTTGTTCCAGTGTCTCACCACCCTCACTGTAAATAATTTCTTCCTAAAAGGTAACTTTTCATACACTGCTGTAGCAAAAGTTGCAGGAGTGTCTCAATCTTTCCAGGTTTCCAGCTGTGTTAGGAAATAAACATGGTATTTACACAGCCCCATGTTCACCAGAATCCCCCCATTAATACTTGCAGGCACACTTGCTGAGACAAACCCTCTGTAGTGTCCATTTTCAGGTGATGAAGGTAAATAGTAGACAAGGATTTGCTCCATTTATCTGTTTAAAAAAAAAAAAAAAAGGCATCAAAGTACTATTGCAACTGAAGAGCTGGGAATGATGCACAAGTGCTTATTTCAGTACTTTATTTTGAAGTATGCTTTTGAATGTTGTTTATGTAACTTTGTTTCTGAAAGCATTTTCTAGAAACTCTATTGTACCATCTGGGATTCTGTGTTCTTTTGGTCAGATGAATCTCAAGAGATCGTTTAGTTCCTGTGAGATACTTTTTTTTTTTTTATACTTTTTGCTGCCCTGTAGGTTAAATAGCATGTTTTTCTTTTCAAGCCTGATGCAGATCCAGAAATGTGAATTGGTCTTAATCCACACGTACCCAGTTGGTGAAGACAGCCTTGTTTCAGATCGCCCTAAAAAAGAGGTAAAGGTCTTAAAATGAGAAAATGTATCGCAGCTATTGGGAATACTGTCAGACTCCAGTAGGTAATGCAGTTAAGCCTCAAAGCTTTAGGCCCCTGGCATAGGAAGGAATACAGGTGACAATTCTTTGGAAAGTTGACAGCTTGCATATTGCCATCTGAAGTGCATGTTTTCTTTCATAGTATGCAAGCATACATGGTATCATATTTTTCACTTCTTGTAGTAATTTGTGTTTTTTTTGTGAAGTAGATTCTGTAGGATGAGAGAATGTTTGTTTTGATTTCTCTTTTAAGAAGGAATTGAATGGAGAACCACCAACTGCTTGGTGTGTTGGATGGATAAGTTAAATAACTTTCTATAGAAGGCCTGCTTGAATTGCTAGCTAGCAGCATGTTCTGACATGTATCTGCTAAATTACACTGGTATTGCTCAGCAAGGTGTCCCATGTCATCCAGGCTGAAGCATTATGATTTAACTGCTGAGTGATTTTTCTCATGACACCGAAATGATGCTTTGATCTGTGTAGTCAGGTGCTAGGCAACACAATGCCCTTATCGTGAAAAGCCTTGGAAGGCATGTCTGCTTCCAAAGGAAGGGGTAATGTATCACAGGAATATAGAGTATTTGAAGTTCATCAGATCTTTAAAGTACTCTACAAAAACACGAAAAATCACGAAATAAAATGATGCATATAAGAACATTTCAGTTGTAGCAAAAATGTGTTGCTGTATGAACTTGTATGCAAACATGTGCAAATGATTTTGTGATGTACTGATTCGAGAATGCAAGGAAGGTGTCTCGGTCTTAACACAAAATGCATCTAGTCTTGCATCCTACTTCACAAGTGGAAGGGAATGCAGCTACTGTTCTGCAATATTGTTCAGAAATACTCACTAGTCACGCTTTAAAAAAAAAAAAAAAAAAAAAAAAAAAAAAAAAAAAAAAAAAAAAACCCCAAAGCTGTACGAATGATTAAATCTGTCCCTTGTAAGACAATCATTGATTTTGGTCTTTGAAAAATGAGCAATGTCATCACTTGGAAAATCAAATGCAACTTACAGCTTGTGTTTTGTTTGTCTGACATGCAGACAGTTAAAAGGAGCTTTGCACCTGTTACTCAGTAGCTAAAGGAGGGAAACCCTAGCCCTGGAAAGAGGGTTCTTTTCCCCTGTCCTGGTACAAATCCTTCCTATTGACAACCAATGAGTCAGAGTTGGTACTGCACCTTTAATTTGTGACATGTTGCAGAAAGTGCAACTGTAGCAACTGACACAATCTGCAGAATTCTGCAAAAGAAGCAATTTTTTTTTCCCCTTTGTAACTTTCCATGATAGTTTTCTTTCTCATTGAATTTAATGGTGTAAATGTTGAGTTTAGCGTTTCAAGTGTTTTATGTTGTTGGATGACACTGGAGTCTAATCCACTGACACTGGGTGTTCTCTGTCAATTTGTTTTAGCTTTCACCTGTTTTAACCAGTGAGGTGCACAGTGTCCGTGCAGGACGGCATTTAGCTACGAAACTGAATGTTTTAGTCCAGCAACACTTTGATCTGGCTTCCACCACAATAACCAACATTCCTATGAAGGTAATATTGTGCCCATGACTTTGTTAGCTTGCTGTATTGCTTCTAAATTTCTTTGCTTTCTTTTAATTTAAATGATTTTTTTATATTGATTTTCTCTCCATATCATTTTTTTTTGTTTCTTTTTTTTTTTTTTTATTAGCCCACATTTAATGTTTGTGACCAGGTTAGTAAAAGTAAAGTAAGGGAAGAATGTAAAGAAGGATCACAGAACAAAATGTATTGCTACATCGAAAATTGAGATCCAGCAATACAAGTGTTGTTTCAGTTCTGTTTGTGTTGCTTCATATAAATACTATCTTATTTGCCTCAAATTACTTTGTTTGTGATTCTGTTGTCTTTTTCTAGTTGTGTTGTTAGATATTCTTGACCCTTGTGCATTTTAGTGGCATAGTGACTCTTTCCTCTGTCTGATCGTCATGCCCACTCGAAATAAAGGTGTTTGTAACTAACAGCTGGTTTTTGGCTAAAGGCTTTCCAGGATTTCCATTCTGAATGTCTATAAACCACAAAGACAAGGATTGGATATAATCTATTTGGGGAAGCTATTAAATTTAAGTATGAACAAAGTTGTTCACATTCCTATTATTTCTTATCACTACAGGGAGGGAAATCAGTGCAATTAAGTAATTAAATATTAAGTTTATAGTAATTTTCTGTTTCAATTCTCCTTCTTCCTGATGCAAAGGGTCAGCATTCAAAGGGTAAGGGCAAAAACTTATTTTTAGAAACAATTGAAGGCTTTTTATTTTTTTTGGCAATTCCTATTGTATTCTTTGAAAAACAGACACTTTCTATGAAAGTCTTTCAAAAATAGTGATTTGATATGGATCCAATAACTTAAAACATGGAATTAAATGTCACAAGACATTTGTTTTTAATGAACTTTGACATGGATCATCAGATAAATGTGACTTCTAGGTTTGCAAATACCTTGTCTATAATCTGATCTGTGTGCTGCTAGTATGCCTCTCCCTTCTATCTTTGTCCTTATAGTAATAGACTATGTTGAATTCCTTGTTTGTGGTTTTTTTTTAACTTCTAATAAATTAGTGGGATTACTCTCCCATTTTTTGCTGATTTGTTGCTGCTGTTTAAAGATGCAGTGATCATCAACTTGAAGTTGAAAGTAATTTTTTTCCCCCCCATGCATCTAAGCATTAAGAGAATGGTGGTACGCTCAAAGTCTGCTTTTTTTGTTCTAGATTCTTGTGAGGCTTCCTAAATGTTATAAATTTAAGCAAAATTAGTTACAGCTGTTTTAAGTCTACACCTTCCACTGTGTACACTGTCAAGACACTTGCATTAAGATAGTTTTTTTTTTCAAGCCCTCTAAAGAATGAGAAGGCTGCATCTTTAAATAGATCAGAGAGCTGTTTCCTCAATATTGCAATCCCATTGTTGTCTAATGCACTTGGGAGACTTGTTTTCCTGTGATGTAAGAGCTAAATGTCAAATCATCACAATAGTTTATCAATAGAATTAGTGACTGCTACTTGGAAATAATTGCATGCATTATTTTTACCTGTCTCTTTTAAAGGAAGAACAGCATGCTAACACATCAGCCAACTATGATGTGGAGCTTCTTCATCACAAAGAAGCACATGTTGACTTTTTGAAGAGTGGTAAGTAGAAATTGTTCTCTAAATGTTGTCTATTCAATCATGTGCATGCTAGGAGGATTTACAAGCAGGGGTTATGAGTTTGGAACTGATGCAGGTTTCAGACTTAATTATTAGAGTTAAGGGGAAACCTTATTTGTAAATAGCACGTCTTCAGTTGTTCCTTGCAGCCTAATAACTTCATTTGCAGTGTTGGCTTTGAAGATTTATTCATGACAGGTCTATTGTAAAGTTTGGAGGTTCTAAGATGACTACTAAGATGATCAGGTGATGAGACAGAAGATGATAAGATGACTTACTAAGATGATCAGGGGGCTGGAGCACCTCCCCTATGAGGACAGGCTGAGGGAGTTGGGCTTGTTCAGCCTGGAGAAGAGAAGGCTGCGGGGTGACCTCATTGCAGCCTATCAATACCTGAAGGGAACCTACACCCACGAGGGGAGTAAACTCTTCAAAAGGGCTGACAACAGCAGGACTAGGGGAAATGGATCGAAGTTGAAGGAGGGAAGATTTAGGTTGGATGTTAGGGGAAAGTTCTATACAAGGAGAGTGGTTAGGCCCTGGAACGGGCTGCCCAGGGAGGTTGTGGATGCCCCGTCCTTGGATGTGTTCAAGGCCAGGTTGGACGGGGTCCTGGGCAACCTGATCTGAATGTGTGTGTTTGGTGGCCCTGCTAGGCAGGGGGGTTGGAACTACATGATCCTTGAGGTCCCTTCCAACCCGGGTGATTCTGATTCTGTGATCTGTGATCTGTAAAGTAATAATAAAAGATTTCAAAAACAGGATTTTTGTGTGTGATTTGTGAGGGGGCACTTCAACTTCTTACTGAGCTTATTGAATAAAAAGCATGCTATCTGAGGGACAGGTGTGATGGTTTTACAGAAAGTAAAAAAAAAAAAAAAAATAAATGAACAAAACAAATAAAAAGGTGGTTGAATACTTGTGGAAAACTATTCCTTGAACAATTGAGCTTTTAATCTGTTTATTAAATAATTGCCATCATTCTGTAGATCTGTTTATGACAGTAATTGCTTTGAAAAACTTGAGTTGCTTTTGAGCTTTCTCAATGTGTTGAAGCATCCAGTATGGTTTTTGTAGCTTGGAATTGCCTAATATTCCTCTTGGGCGAGCTATTAAAACTTCTGTGAGACTGGGTGGGGGGAGGGAACAATTTTGCAGAAGGTGTTTGAGATCACAGTTTGTTTATATATAAAGTGAGGCAAAATATTCTGTATTGGTGGTACTTAAAGGCTAAAGCAAGCAACCGAAAACACCCTGTCTACCAGTGTTCAGTGGAATGCTTATTATGTTCCTCTTCTGAAATGCTAAAGTCTCATTTGAAGTCTTTTATAGGCTGTTTTCTCATTTCTCAGTGTTGTTTGTAACTTTTTAAGTGGCACTGAGTCATAAGAAGTCTTAGTCTGACTTGCTGTGTGTGTAGAATACAGGTATTTAGTTACTGACTACAGATATTTTTTACTATTCAGTTACATGGCTTTAAAGCGTATTAGGAAGGTGATGGTTTAACATCTTAGAAGTATAATATTTTAACAGATGAGTTACCTGCCTGTTATTTAAGAAATGGTGGGTATTTCTCAAATTTGAAAAAGTTTGTGTGTAAGCAAGCAGCTGCTTTGGGGGACTTTTCTTCCCCCTCTGCTCTTAAGAGGACTGCCATCACCTCCAGGACAGAATGCATCTCCTCATTTACGATTACTGATCCTTCTCTTTTAGTTAAGCTTATGATTGAAGACTGGGGGGTGAAGGAATCAGGTGTTAGAATACTGAATTCTGACTGACTTGAACTTACTATGCATGTTGAAAGTACAAAGCTTTAAGGCTGAGGCTCAGAAATCCTGTGTAAAACCTAGAGGCTCTGGGAGTAAGGCTGCTAGTAGGAGCTGAAACCAGGCTCCTGCTGCAATGGCCTTTTGCTTTGTTTTCATCAGACCTTGTCAGTTTTTGTTCCTTTTTTTTTGTTTTTGAAATCCATCTTCTAACAGTACTAAACACTAGGAATGGGGAGATTTGGTTATTTAATTAGATCTTATTTTTAATGACAGTAGCTAAGGAGCTCATGTAGAGGCAAGCCTTAACCTATTCTGTGAGAGGTTTTTCTAAAAGGATTCAAATTATTTAAACTGAACTCTTAGTCATTAAGAAAGCCTCTACTGCAAGTTACTTTCATGATCAGTAAGCAGACCAAACAAATATTCTGTGAGGAAATCTTTATAATATGGAATCGAAGAAGTTCCTACATAGAATCTTAGACTGAACCCTAACATATTGCATAGAATGTTGATGTATGCCTCCAATTACTTTCAGATTATTGTGGATTCAAGCATATTGTTTTGACTGTTTCATAATGTATTGTTATAGGTATTAATATCTGCTTTAATGCCTTCAGATGCTGTCTACCAAACCAGTTGTCAGTGTGATGTTATACAAAAATATTTGTAGTGATAAAACACTTGTGGCCTATTTAAAAAAAAAAAAAAAAAAAAAAGTTGTTCGAATTGAATTTGACATAGCAAAGATGCTGGATAAGAAGACAGATTTTATTTTCCCTCTAAAGCCCAAATTGTCAAATGTGCCTTTAGATGAGCTTCATTTTAGGCTGAGATACAGTATGTATGTAAACTAATCAGCCTGAAAGAAGGGCTCTTAATTCTTGCTAAGGGTTTTGATTCGTATATGGAAAATCAATGCTTTTCAAGTCTTAGGCCTTTTTTTTTAAAAAAAAAAAAAGAAAAAAAAGGCTGCTGCAGGGTAAAACAAAATGTATCTATAATTTTCCAAGTGTTGAATATGGGGAACATACTCTGGAGCTACACTGTTTGCTTGCATTTCTTTTTTACGACCATTCAATAGCTGTTGATTTTTAAAAGATTATTTTAAGTACTGCTACTGATGAAGGGATTTCTTTCACTTGTTAAATATCTAGCTTAATTAGATTACTTCTTGTATGCGATCACGTTATTAAATATTTTGCACCTTAAATTAAAAAAAAAAAACACTAGAATTATTTGGTGAGTTTTTGTGCAACAAAGACAATGTTTGATCACATCATGATGCACGTTTTTCTGGCTCAATACTGCAGGTGATAATCACGTAGGTGGCAGCAGCAGAGAGGGCGCATTTAAAGAAACTGTGACGTTAAAATGGTGTACTCCTCGAACAAATAGTGTGGGTAAGTAACATGATATCTTACAAAGCTGCTATTCTAACTTGTGTTGGATGTTCTCCTTACCTACTAACAAGAATTAAGCAAGGAGGTAGTTCTTGATGTTGTTTTTACCTTTTACTCTACATACATCACTGCTGATTTCATCTTGTTTTAGTAGTGGTGAAATGCTGTTCAGCCTCATCCTCTTCTTTGGTTATGTGAGATGTTTTTTTTTCTGTGTGGAACTAGATTCAACTTTTCTACTCCTTCATTTTTTAGAATTGCACTACTGCACTGGAGCATACAGAATTTCACCAGTAGATGTAAATAGCAGACCATCTTCATGCCTTACAAACTTTCTCCTTAATGGTAAGTTTGTGTCCTTGGCTAATTATTTTAAAGTTGTTAATATTGCAAGTGGAACGTTGTGGTGGCTTTGCATTGGTAAATCTTTGCTTCATCTGCTGCTCTTTCAGTTCCCCTCCACAGAACGGGTGGGAAAGTCAGATGAGAAAAGACTTATAGGTTGAGACAACTGAATTATCTTCTCACCCTTACCTTCAGGGTAAAACAGACTCCTCACAGGCAGATAAATATAATTTATTGCTTTTGTCTAACAGACCAGAGCAGTGAGAACTGAAAGCACCTCTTTCCCTGCACGTTCTTTTGCCTCCTCTCCCTGACTGACACAGGGGAGTGGAGGATGCAGTCAGCTCATAGTGCTTAGTCCTGGCTGCTCCTTTATGATCACTGTTCCCCTGCTCCAGCACAGGGAACTGATTCTGCTTGGGCTTTCCGCAGGTCACAACTCCCCAAGCACTGCTCCAGTGTGGCTTCTGCACCACAGGGCCCACACTTCAGGGCTGCACTGGTCCCCTCTATGGCTTCCTGTCCCACCATGAGCTCTTCTCCACAGGCCCCAGCTTCTGCCTGGGGCCTGCTCTCTTGTGGGGGCTCTCCATGGGCTGCAGCCTCCTTCAGGCTGCATTCATCTCCAGTAGCGTGGAGTCCTGTGTGGGTTGCATGTGGAGATCTGTTCTGTGTGGTACCCATGAGCTGCAGGAGGACAGCCTAGGCATAGGCACCATGGGCCTCTCATGGGCAGGGCATTTCTTCTCTGCACCTGGAGCACCTCCTCCCCTCTTTCTGTACTGACCTGCAGGGCTGTTTTTCACATTCCTTGCTCCTTTTTCTCAGCTGTTGTTGTCCAGCAGTTTTTCCCTTTCTTTAAAAGGGTGCTGTCCCAGAGGAGAACCCAGCGTTGCTCGTGGTTCAGCTCTGGTGATGGTGGGTCCCTTTAGGAGGTGGCTGGGGTTGGCTCTGATCTGATGGTAGGGCTGGACTTTGCTAACAGTGGCTACCTCTGCTAACAAACTTGCCACATTTCAGCCTGTACAAAGAGGGGTATGTCTGTATGCTGTGAAAATGCTGAGTATGTTAACGTGTCATGTAAATAACTGGAAATGAGAGGAAAGAGGTAGAGAGCAAATACTGAATCCTGAAAGTTCTTTACTGAATCCGAATGTAGAATACATTGTATCTGCTATTACTATGTATTGTATGTAGAATGCATAGTAAGAAACATTTATTTCAGTAGGTGGTGATATCCTTTATTGTAATGCTGGAAGTATGTAGTCAGCTTCAATTGTTTCTTTACAGTAAGCAAAAAAAAAAAAAAAAGGCTGCATTATGAACATCCTTTTAATGGGATGTGTTTGTTTTTTTTTCCCCAGGGAAGTTATTCTGTGTATTTTTCTAAAGATTCTGTACTGGAAAAGTACTTTGATTATTAAAAAATAATTAGAACTAAAACTGATAGTATATTAAGGAAACCCTCCCTTCTAATCTTCTGTTTCTGGTTCCTTGTAATAAACAATTTATTTGAAGATTACTCGTCTTTGTTTAGTGTATTTTAATGAAAATAAGTCAGCAAGTTTAGTGTGTCTGGAAAGTTGTACCTGTTGTAAGTATTAAAAGTAGAATAAATGGATACCTTTTATACTTGAGTGGGTTATGTTGCTTCTTTGTAGAAGATGCTTTTAATGAGTTTCTGCAGTAGAGCAAGATAATGGTTAAGTATACAACATCATCTTTGACTAAAAATAACAAGCCATTCATACACAATGTACCATATTAATGTCTAAAATCTTATTTTTCTTAGGAATAATGTCCTGCTTAGAAAGCAGTAATGTGTTCCCAGGAGGGGGGGCCTTTCAGCTGTTCTGTGTAAGATTTAAAAGCTTACTGTATTGTTTAGGGAAATAGAGTAGAAGCTTGAAAAAGTTTCTTGCTCATCAAGGTCAAAACACAACTTAAACGGATTCAAAGTCTTAATGGTTTGGTCCAAACCTCCATGTATATGGTTTTTGTAATTCAAAATTGCGATACATGGTGGCTAATGAAGCTGATCTCACTTCCATCAGGTCGTTCTGTTTTGTTGGAACAGCCACGCAAGTCTGGCTCGAAAGTAATTAGTCACATGCTCAGCAGCCATGGAGGAGAAATTTTTCTGCATGTATTAAGCAGCTCACGGTCAATTCTAGAAGATCCCCCATCAATTAGTGAAGGCTGCGGTGGGAGAGTTACTGATTACCGGATTACAGTAAGACTCCTTTTTTTAGATGGTTTTCACATCAATGACAAGAGATGTAGTGCAATGGTGTTGTGTATGGGAAATTCTAGTGTGTGTTCTGGAGATCTGGGGTGGTTTACATGACATCATAATCTGATTTTCTTTGTATACATTGATGTATACTTAAAGTAGAACATCCGTTCATTGTCATGTGTGCTTCATAGAATCCTTTCCATGCTGAGGAAACACTTTGCTGCCTTATGCACTGTCCATATCTGAACTTTGGTTTGATTCTGAAACAGCATTTTCCTGGCGAGGTTTTACTATGGGCTGGGTACACATAGAACAACTGTATCATGGTCATTGGTGGAAGGCTTGATTGTGTGTGAATGAGTTGTGAAATAAGTAGTAGATGAAGTTGTCAGCTTTGAACTCTGATTATAGAACAGACAGTAAGCTGGCATTTTTTTTTTTTTTTAACACTTCCTTTGCATCTACTGTACGTAAGCAGGAGTGACTTCCAGAAAAACATAGTAAAGCTTCTTACCATGCACGAAATACCTTACAAGTCCAGAAGACCTTCTTGTTAAAAACTTCGTGTCAGTTTTTAACCCCTGTTATTATGAATTTCTGTGTTCACCTCAAAGAATGTCACAAATTTGAAAGCTAGAAGAAGGGCTCTGGGTGTTGGAGTCAGGTTTAGTGATGGTGGTACACAGTTAACGATAGGCGAGAGTATGCTGTTTCACCCATTCAGTGAAAGTTACTTTGTTAGAGAAATTCCTAACTTTATTTTGTTTGGTTATCATTAGGATTTTGGTGAATTTATGAGGGAAAACCGATTAACTCCTTTTCTAGAACCCAGATATAAGATTGATGGAAGTCTTGAAATTCCACTGGAACGTGCAAAAGATCAATTAGAGAAACATACTCGTTACTGGCCTATGATTATTTCTCAGACTACCATCTTCAATATGCAAGCTGTAAGTAATCTTGGGTGTGTAACCTTTTCTTCTGGTCTAGAGTAAGTCTGAATCTGCTACTTGGCGGAAGCACTAACTCTACGATAAATCATTTGTCACAAAATGAGTTTATTTGAAGATTTGTTTCTAACTTCAGTACTTAATGTCAGTAGATTATAACTGTTTAATCCAAATTGAGTGCTGTACTTGAAACTGGCTTAGCTAAAGAGCTGCTGAGTTGCAATGGGTAAAGACAGTAAGGCATGCCTGTGGTTATACCTCAGTGTTGCTATTAAATTCAGGAGAGAATGTAGTATTTTTGTTGTGTATTGTTCCGTGGTTACACAGACTGCTTTTGCTTTGTCCTGCTAGTTTCCTGCAATATGTGGACTTCCCATTCTTGACTTATGTTTTGTATTGCAGGTAGTGCCATTAGCCAGTGTGATTGTAAAAGAAGCAATGACAGATGAGGATGTATTGAATTGTCAAAAAACAATATACAATTTGGTAGATATGGAGAGGAAAAATGATCCGCTGCCAATTTCAACAGTTGGTACCAGAGGAAAGGGTCCTAAAAGGTTAAATACAAATATTTTTGTTGTTGTTGGATGTTTCTCAGAAAATATATTACTTATATTGTTTTCATACATGCTTTTAAAATGTGGCCAAAGGTAATATGGAGTCTACTAAATGATATACAAATTGCTCGCACCATTTAGGGACAGTGGTTGTGCCGAGTGTTAGGAAACAGCAGTGATGTTATTACTGCAAAAATTGTGAGTGTTAAATGTGAGTACAGAAATGATCGAGGAAGGTGACAAGCTATGGGAGGAAAAAGTGGAAAAATGTCAAATGACTAAGAAGGGGAGCTTGAGAATATTGTAAACAAACAGCAATATAAAAGTGAGTTATTAGAATAGTCCAATAACTTTGAAACTGTTACTTAAAATATAGGATGTTCCTTTTAAAGTCTGCATAGGATTTCCATTTATTTGTTGTTCCAATGGTGACATATGCATACATTGTAATTCCAAGAATTAACTGGAAAGAAATTAGTCTGCAACAGATCACCAGGCACCTGGAAGTCATTTACGGTCAACCAATGTAAGATTCCTAATTCTTGGTTTTTATGCAAATATTTAAATAAATCATGGGTGTTCCAGTACTTGAGTGGTCATCTGCATCCTAATATTGCTTAACTTGCTGCTTAGCAAACAGTTGACTGAATTCAGAAGTAACTTTTGGCAGTCAGATCTCATGAAAGTTAAGAAATTGCTGTCAGTGGAATCAGTATCTACATTTCAACTAAACTGAACTCTTAGTGGGGAAAGATCACGTGGTGTGGTTCCATGAATTGCAAGGATGGGACGATCTGAGGTGTGGGTGCATCTTCACATGAAGAAGAAGCTCAGGGGATAAATAAAATCAAAACAGCACAACACAAAAAAAAAAGTCTTTAATTTAGCTATTCAGTAGATTAATGATTTAGATTATCCTATATACAGTTGTGCTTTTCCTACCCTTGCTTAGAGATGAACAGTATCGGATTATGTGGAATGAATTGGAAACTCTGGTACGAGCACACATTGGCAACTCTGATAAGCACCAGCGGGTCTTGGAGTGTTTGATGGCTTGCAGAAGCAAACCCCCAGAGGAAGAAGAACGCAAGAAACGAGGCAGAAAGAGAGAAGACAAAGAAGACAAGTCAGAGAAGTCAGGAAAGGACTATGAAACAGATAAGCCATGGCAAGAATCAGAAAGGTAAATCTTCTAAAGGAATGTAAAACCGTGACATAATAACCTTTGTCATGATGCTCTGCAAGAGAACTGCTGTAAAATGGGTTCTAATTTGATTTGTTGGTAAGCCACATTTAAAAGCATAAACAATGATTCTGAACCACAATTTTTTTAATCGGTTTAATTGGCCATTGATAAGCTGGAAAAACATCTATGTTATTACAGTGCCTGCTTATCATATTTGCAAAGTAAGAATATTTCACAAATATGGACCTTGGACAGGCTGCTGACAGCAGGGCTTTACACTACTTTGTAACTACAACACTTAGTATACTGTAGGAATATTAGAACATGAAATCAACTGTCCAGTCACATTTTTGCAGTCAATTGGATGGTAGTTGGGTATATCCAAATTAATTAGGCTGGACTCCTCAGTTGAACACCAAAGATGATTGTCCTTGCACCTACAGTTTATGATTCATTTTGATTATTCTAACTTCTGAAGCACTTCAGATCTGGTTTCCTTCTTTCAAACTACTTATTCTAAAGAAAGCACCTTGCATTACTAAGCTTTTTTTAATATGTAGTTTTGTACATGTTAGGATTGCTTAGGAGGATGGACACTTTGACCTGTGTTATTGTCACTGTGCTGATGATCTTCTTGCCTTTCTGCATATGATCAAATCCATTTCTACAGCTACTTCTGCTTTGACAGGTGGAGCAAAGCAAGGGCTGAGACTGTAGCAATTTGATACAGAATGTAAACCTGGATCATATTTAAAAAAAAAAAAATTGGCATTCTGTATATTCATTGTTGGTTGATCTTTTTCAGTTTTGACAGAACTACCTCAGTGAGTATGATATAAATATTTTAAAGGAGGTGAAAATATATTTTAAGGTCTTTCCCTTAAGTCTTCCAGAGGATTATTTGACTAGTTTTCCCAAGTTTCCCAGTTTGACAAGCGGTCAGAAGAAACCTCATGATGTGGGTAGTGGGTCACTTGAAGAGTAAAGATGTCAGGAAATAATAGATGCTGCTGTAGTGTATCTTCGTTGTTTTCCTTCTCTCTCAAAAAGGTTAAAAAGTCTCTTGGATCGTGAAAAAGAAGAACTAGCAGAAGCAGAAGTTATAAAAGATTCCCCCGATTCTCCTGAGCCCCCCAACAAAAAGCCTCTTATAACAATGGATGAAATGCCTGTAGTGGAAAAGGCAAAAGGTAAAACAGAAGGATTGTGACAGATTTTTTTTTCACTTGAAAATTTGTATATTAGTCTCTTTCCCTAAGGTAATGAGGCAGATCCTGGAGTAAAAGCTGAATTAGTGAAGAGAAGTTTTAATTAATGCTGAGAAACTCTTGTTAAGTACACGTGTTAACCTTAACAAGTCAATGTCAAAAGAAAGACTCCCAAGATACTGTGTCAACCTAAAAGATAGGCAATTGGATTGACAAGGGACAAGGACATATTTCTGCTGGTGCTAGCTGAGGTACGCTGACAGAAACATTGTTTAAGAGTGGATATCAGAAACAGCTGTCTCTTGCTGACTAATGAATGTAGACATGCCAAACTGTCTAGTTGTTGAAAGGGACATTTATCACTGGCTTCTTTTCCTTTTTGAGCTGCTACTGTCTGTCATAATGGCTGAGTTTGTGTTATGATGCTGCTTGTGAAGCAAAGTCAATCTCCTATAAAGCAGCAACTCAACTGCTGTAACTCTGTGTGTGTCATACTTACGTAGTCTATATTAGAAGGCTTTTTAATATTAGTGTTTTTAATATGCTGTACTACCAAAGTCTTAATATCTTCAGAAACTTCATGTTCTAGGAACACAGAATTAAATCACTTGGTTATAAGTCATCCAATTACAGATTTTACCTATTTTTGCATGCAATTTTAGGGCCAATGTCCTTGCTGTCTTTATGGAGCAACAGGATTAATACTGCCAATTCTAGGAAACACCAAGAATTTATTGGTCGTTTGAACTCTGTCAACAACAAAGCTGAGCTGTACCAACATCTGAAAGAAGAAAATGGGTTTGTATCAATGAATGCATCACTACTACTCAAGCAATAGTCAAATGCAATAGTTTGAAATAGATTAATAGTTGATTTTCATTAAAAGAACTGCTTGCATTTTTGAGGATTAAAGTATGCGAAGTTTATAAAACAAAAATTGCAGCTTTTGTTTCTTTTTTTTATTTTTTTTTTTTTTTAGTTTTTTGATTGTATTAACAATGATGATCCTTACCAATTGCTTTCTGCCATTTCAGAATGGAAACGACAGAGAATGGAAAAACTGGACGACAGTGATTTTGTTCAAACAGAATTTGGCTAAATTGCACGGGGG